AAATACAGCTCGAAAATACATATTCCAAATGTTAACGATTTTTATTTAACTTCGATATTCATTCGATTTTACGGTTATTGTCCACCATACAGGGTTAGATAAAAAAAAACTCAAATTTTAAAATAAGTTTAGATTAGTTTGAATTGGCTACCTTTGGCTCGAATTATGGCCTACAAACGGCCAATGAAACCGTCACACGCTGAGGTATTTTGGTCCATTCCCGCTTGGCCCATTGCTTGAGATTATCGACACTTTGGTATTTTTTAGTGCCAACCTTGCTTTCCAAAATACTCCAGACACAACAGTCCAACGGATTGGTATTTGGAGATTTTGATGGCAATTGTGCGCTGGAAATGAAGCGAGGAACCTCATTTTTGTGACCGTTCTTGGGTGGCGCGTGCTGAATACGATGGTGCTGTGCCGTGTTGGAATGTCCAAGGTCTGCGGCCAAAATGTTTTCGTGCCCAAGGCTTTAATACATCCTTCAGAATATTCTCGCGATAACATTCGGCATTCATTTTGATGGCACGAGAGGAGAGCGACCACTGGTTGTTATGGCGGCCCACACCATAACTATTAACGGCGCTTGAGTTCTGGTGGCCAACCGAAGGTGCACATTTTTAGCTGACCTCTTTGGCAAGTAAACACGATCATTTTGTTTTTTTAAAAACTGCTGGACTGGCAATTTTTTGTCTTTATTTATATTTGTCATTATGTTCGAGACACTGGTATTGCAGAGGGCACATAGTAGTGATTAAAGTCACAATTTTTTGCCCAAGGCTTTAATACATCCTCCAGAATATTCTCGCGATAACATTCGGCATTCATTTTGATGGCACGAGAGGAGAGCGACCATTGGTTGTTATAGCAGCCCACACCATAACTGTTACCGGCGCTTGAGTTCTGGTGGCCAACCGAAGGTGCACATTTTTAGCTGACCTCTTTGGCAAGTAAACACGATCATTTTGTTTGTTTAAAAACTGCTGGACTGGCAATGTTTTGTCTTTATTTATATTTGACATTATGTTCGAGACACTGGTATTGCAGAGGGCACTTAGTAGTGATTAAAGTCACAATTTTTTGCCGGGAAATTTAGAATAATGAGATCTATTCATAGCACCGTCCATCTAATATTATCGGCGCGAAAGAAAAATGATTTGGCAATCCTAAAAATAAAACTCGCGCACTTACTGCCTCCATATCAGAGTGATTTAAAACCTCCCCTAATATAGGTTTGTGTACACAATTGCCTTCTATCTTCTACCGATAACAAAATTGCTAGTTTTTATTTTCAGACTTACTGAAAAAAAAAAAAAACAAACTAAAAATGATTATAAAATTGCTCTCACGAACATGACTTGCAGGTTAATTGTTAACATTGATAAGATTCCTATTTGTTTGACGTTTGCTTCTAAAGCTTTTGTTTGACGGAAGAAAATACACTCGTCTTTTCAGATGTTGTAAGTGTCGCTAGAAAAAAGTGTTGTTTTCACACTATTTTAATACGTCCCTGAACTTGACCTGAACTTGATGTTCTAAATATGAAATACAGTAGGAACTTTTTATAATGAATGGAATACAAGTGAGATAATGTAAATTGGTGCAATTTATAAAATCAAAAATGAATTTATTCTCAAGTTGCGAGAATAGACATCATAATTAGGTCGCCCTGTATGCATTTGAGAGTCGCATGAACCAGCTTCACTGCACTCTCGAGTTAACAATGCAGATTTTAATTGACTTATTAACTGGCAGCATAGGCTTTGTTCAATTAAAATGAATTAATGAATGAATTAAAGATTATTGACGAATTGACTGTAGGTATCAGGTTTTATTAAACACAATGTCTATTCAAAGTAAAATTTTCCGTTTTTTTGTTGATGTATTAATTGCTGCTGCAAAAAAGTAAAATTTCAAGTAATTATCGGAAATTTAAAATCAATTTGTAAGTATATTTCCTCATATTTAAAATTAAGAAAATAATACACAAATGCATACATTGCCAGGGCCACATTTGCATTTTGTTTCAACCAGATGTTCACCTAAGTTAAGTTACTCTGTGAGTAGAATGCTTCAAGTATTTATTATTGTTTCTAATATTAAACTAATTAAGTAAAAAAACATTAATTTCGGCCGGGTCGAACTTTTAATACCCTCCACCTTAGGGTAGTAGAAACACTAGAACCAATTATGACCCACAAATACCAATTTTTAGACATATTCGTGGGAAAATGTGGCAAAAATCATCAAAATACCGAATATCGGGAGGTACCGCTATATAGGGCTATACAAAAGCGTGGACCTATACATACAATATTTCGCCAACAGAGTTAGAACTCATTATGACTAACAAATTCCAATATTTAGACAAATCCGTGATAAAATGTGACAAAAACCATCAAAATACCAAATATCGGAAGATACCATTATATGGAGGCTATACCAAAACGTGGACCCATACATGCAATGTTTCGCCACCGGAGCTGGAAACCATTATGACCCACAAATACCAATTTTCAGACAAATCATTGAAAAAATGTGGTAAAAATCATCAAAATACCGTATATCGGGAGGTAATGTTATATGGGGACTACACCAAAGCGTAGACCTATACATGCAAAGTTTCGCCACCGGAGCTAGAACCCATTATGACCAACAAATACCAATTTTCAGACAAATCCGGGAAAAAGTGTGTCAAAAATCATCAAAATACCGAATATCGGGTGGTACCTTTATATGGGGGCTATACCAAAACGAGCTATATGGACCGATATATCTCATTTTCAATGCCAACCATCCTAGACACAATACAAATTTCTCTCCTAAATTTTGGCGCTGTGGGCTGTATCGTGACTTCAAAAGACAGACAGACAAATGGACATCGTTAAATCGACTTAGAATTTTATGCTGATTATGAATATATATATACATTATGGGGTCAACGACGAATATTTAGGGATGTTACAAACAGAATAACAAAGTTAATATACCCTCCTTTCCAAGGTGGAGGGTATAAAAACTGCAACAAATTTAAACGCCATAACTTTTACATTTATTTTTTCTACTTTACTGAATGAAAGCAAAAAATGTCGGAAATAGCATCAAATTTTAGAATAAGTTTAGATTTGTTCGAATTGGTCACCTTTGGCACGCATTATGGCCTTCAAACGGCCAATGAAACCGTCACACGCTGCCCGAATGTTGCTCTGCGGTGTTTTGGCCAAGAGATTTCGTGTGACCAATGTGCGCTGGAAATGAAGCGAGGAACCATTCTTGGGTGGCGCGGTCTGAGTGCGATGGTGCTGAGTCCTGTTGGAATGTCCAAGGTGTGCGGTCAAAATTTTTGCGTGGCCATGGCATTAATCACCGTCCAGAATATTTTCGCGATAATATTTGGTATTTATTCTGATGCCATAATCGATTAATACGAGCGGAAAGCGACCATCGGCTGTTATGGCGGGCCACACCATCACCATGGCCGGCGCTTGAGTTCTGGTGGCCAATCGAAAGTGCACATTTTCAGCTGACCTCTTTTGCAAGTAAACACGATCATTTTGTTTCTTTACAAACTGCTGGGCAACGAATGTTTTCTCATCGCAGAAAACCAAATTTGGCAGTTCACCACTTTCGGCCAAGCGAAGCAACTCTTTAGCCCTTTCTTCCATTTTTTTTGGAATTTCAATGGCTTTCCCCCAGCTCGTTTTTAGTATTTGCCGGATGAAAAATTGCGATATGTTAAGCTCACGAGGCATTTTTGGCCACTGCGACGCGGGTTTCGATCAAGTTGCTTCTTAACTTTTCGAACCATTTCTCCTGATGTTGCTGTTTTCTTCCGTCCACTTTCTTGACGTCGGGCTACGCTACCAGTATCACGATAACGAGCGATGGTACGAGACACAAAAGATTTATTCACATTTAAATGCTGGATTGCACTAACGATAGCCACTTGTGGTTTTCCAGCCAAACATAAAGAATCACGCTTGAATTCCATAACGAATAACTCTTTTTTCTGGAAAATTCTCACCAAAATGCTTTTGTACGCTTGTAAACAATATAATGAGCTGTCACTGGAAAAATTTTTAACAGCTGTCGGAAGAGTGGCTTCGAAATGACAGCAGCCCGAAGTTGATTGCAGTTTTTTCATCTCACCCTTTATAGTGAGATTTTTCAAAACAATCTCCATATCTCAACCTCAGATACCAACAGTGACCTCAATATAAAATTTCGAGTTTCCAGCCCTATCACTTCACACAATACCCATTTCGGTACCATTCGGTACTTTTCGAACAAGTATAGTTCGCATTTTTAATATTAATATTAAATTTCGGGATTCCAGGCCTATCCTGTCGGACGAGTGGCTACGAAATAACAGCAGTCCGAAGTTGATTGCAGTTTTTTCATCTCACCCTGTATAGTGCGAATTTTCAAAACAAGCTCCATATCTCAACCTCAGATACCAACAGTGACCTCAATATCAAATTTCGAGTTTCCAGCCCTATCCCTTCACTCAATACCCATTTCGGTACCATTTAGTACTTTTCAAGTAAATATAGTACAGATTTCAAATGCACTTCCATATATTGACCACAGACACCAAAAGTGGCATCTATATTGATTTCAGCTCTATTCTCTCGGCCAATACCAAATATAGTACCACTTAGTACTCAATTATAGAAAACAACAGAGACCTCAATATCAAGTTTGAGGATTGCAGCTATATCCCTTCATCCAATACGATATTAATTACCATTTAGTACTTTCTACAAATATAAGACAACCATCAGTACCAAATATAGTACCATTCAGTCCTTTTTAGACAATTATAGTTCAAACTTCCGAACCACTCCCATGTGTCCAGGCTATACTTGAACCTTTATACAAAATTTTAGATTTTAAGCTCTATCTGTTCATCCAATACCAAATTGTGCCAACTGTAGTACTATTTAGTACCTTTCGTGCACTTTTAGTACCAATTTTCAATAAATATTATTTTTTTATTTATTTTTTTTTTACAAAAGTTGTCCTAGTTATTTTTTTAAATAAATACACAGTCATTCTTCAGTCATTTGTTCCTTTGGGATACACTCAATTGTTTGACAAATATTTATGTTCCTAATCAAAATAGCCCTTGTTAGCCAACCAAGGTAGTAACTGTTGCATTTGTTTGCAATATCCTTCCCCAGTATACATGGCCTTCTGCATGGCACCTCCGTCATTCTTGTCACCCATCATGTTGTCCATGTTGAAGTCTTTTGTGGCGTTGGGATCCAGAAGGATTACTGGGAGACTCTTTAAGAGGACAGTATATCCTACGAAAGAAAAACGTTTTCGTTAAGAAAAAAATAGTTTCTTTAAAATTCCATGGCCTTCTTACCCATAAAACTGTAATCATACATCCACATATGAAGATCTCTCAGAGATGGCATCTTTTTGGAATAACCCAACAGCTTCAGATTTTCAATTAATTTCTGATGGTAGTACTGAATGAAATAGTCGTAATATTTCAGTTTGATGTCCAAGCTAGTAGAACTCAGAAGGAAGTATTGCAGATCAAGGGCGGGAGATGTGAAGCGACCAACTTGGAAATCAACCAGCAATGTGTTCAAAACATTATTCTTGTCATCATGTTGGAACATAATATTGTTCGACCAGCAATCACCATGGCTGAGGACATTGAAATCCTCCATGCTGCGGTTTTCCGAGTTCAAAATTTCTTTCAAGTATTTGGGCCGATAACTTATCTGGAACGAACGCCATCAAATACAAATATTCCAAACATTGATTGTTCATTCTTCAATTCATCTTACCAGCTTCTCTTTTAAATTCTCTGCCTTGTAGATAGGCAAACATTCTACCAGCACTTGCTCCTGTGGTTCCTGGGATTTAGCCAACATTTCCACCATACCATCCTTGAGCATTGGCGCCATCATCAGCGCTGGCAGGCCATTGTTGTTCACAATGTAGGTGGCGGAGGCAGCATGAAATTCTGCCAAAACTTCCAAGGCACTCTTGGCATGGTCCATATCAAGTCCCTCAAGGCGATTCATATTTTTGAAACCCTCTTGACGTACATCTTCCATGAGAATGACATCAAAACCCAAATCTTTGTCAAACGAATAGGCATTGGGTGCAATTTTTGTAACTTTGCCAGCCTTGCGATACATTTCATCGAAAACGGGAAACAGTTCATAGTAGCAGATTCGTTCACGTTTAAAGGAATTCATCATGCCAATCATGGCTTGAGCCTGTGCTGAAGTCGGAGGTATCTTCAGCATATATTTGCAGATTTTTGTCGAACCATCTAAGAGGGGAAATAACATAAATTTTAGTATGTTAATTTCGGTATTATGAAAATGTATTTTAAATGGATAAATGCGAACGCTGTTCTGACCCTTTACGGTTAGACTAATATAAATTACACTGTGCGACAAAATTATTTTTTTTTAATAATTACAGGAAAAATCCAGCTCATTATAAAAGTAGAGCGTTTCGGCGTTTTAATAGTTTACATCGCAAAATAACTAAAATAGAAAGGTCAAGCTCCCACCCCTTCCATATTTTCGGATTAAGATTTCTTAGAATCTGTTGACTTTAGATATTATTTTTAAGAAAATTACATTCAAAATCTGTTAGACAAGCAGTAAAAACTTTTACAAAATTTTCACTTGTAGTTCATAAATTTCGATCATAATTTTCTTAAAAACTATAGTACCTAGATGTATGATTTATTCTGAGATTTGTAATGAAATGTTGTCCGGAATATTTCATCTTTTGACACTTTTGCCTAAAACCAAATTTTATTTTTATTTCAAATGTCAACTGGAAAAAAATTCGAGCAAAAATTGATCATTTTTTTTTGGCAACATTGATAGAAAAAAAAATCTTGATATATAATGAATATAGAGATTTCTTTTCTTTGGTGACTTATAGTAAAATTTGATGAAGAACATTTTTGTCTTTGACGTTGTCTTTCTACAAAGGGGATTTGTAGGAATATTTTGCATAAATTCACATAGATTACGTATTTGGCCTTACAATTGTGGTGGTGACTTTTAATTCCCTCTACTATTTATAAGGAAATTAAATGTAAAATGTAAAAAAGTTCAGTTGAAATAAGCCATTATAATTTTAAAAATTCCAATTAACTGTCTTACGAACTTTAAGAACCAATTTTACGATGTCTCTTTTGAAAAATATATAGCTAAAATCATCAAAATTCGGAATATTGAGAGATACAGTTATATGTAGGACTAGCTGAACCCGGTGCGCTTCGCTACCCTTTTTGATTTTGTATGCATTCAAGATTTTATTTACGAATATATGTTGGTTAAAAAACAACAAATTTAAAAATTAAAAAAACAAATTGTTGTACTTCTTTAATGCGTAAATAACCAAAACCATTAGAAAAGCAGTAATATGACATACATACACGAAGGGTTTGTCCTTCGGATTTATTTATTTCATAGCAAATACCAAGCGTGCAGTAAACTGCAATCTTTTGAAGTTGAGTGGCATTTCTATTGCAATTAGTGAATTCGAGATAGCAACATACTTCGCCGTAATAAGCGTATTTCAAATCAATTGTTGTATCGTTTTTAAGTGTTAGCCTAAGGCGTTGTAGGTCAATGGTTCTTATTAAAATCATATGCCAATCTGATCCGATTTAAATATAATTTAAAAAAAATACTTTTACACCAAACTCCGCCACACCTTTCATATTTCATTGAAATTGGTTCGTCAAATATGTGAAATCGGCCGATAATATACATATGGGAGCTATATCCAAATCTTAACTAATTTCCAATTAATTTGTCACATTTATTATTGTAACCAAATTCCGCCACACATTCTGAATTTCATTGGTATCGGTCATATATATCATGTTTGGTGCATAACATATATAAAATCGGCCGAAATATATATGAGAGCTATATCCAAATCTCAACTGATTTCAATATAATTTGGCAATTTTTTCTCGTGCCAGATTTTGTCTTTCTGGCTTTGGGTGAGTATATATATGGGAGCTATAATCAAATCTGAGCGTATTTGAATATAATTTGTCAAATTTATTTTTGTACCAAATTTAGCCACTCATGCCGAATTTCATTGGAATCGGAAATACGTATCGTGTTTTGTGCATCAAATATGTGAAATCGATCGAAAATATATATGAGAGCTATATCCAAATCTGAACCGATTTTAATATAATTTGACAAATGTATATTTGTTTTAATTTCCGCTACACATTCCAAATTTCATTGAAATTAGAGATACATAGCGTGTTTGGTGCATCAAATACATGAAATCGGTCGAAAATATATATGGGAGCTATATCCAAATCCGAACCGATTTCAATATAATTTGGGAAATCAATTTTTTAGATAAAATCTATCACACGTTTCAAATTTCATTGAAATTGGGGATACATAGCGTGTTTAGTGCATCAAATGCTTGAAATCGGCCAAAAATATATATGGGAGCTATATCCAAATCTGAACCGATTTCAATATAATTTGACAAATTTATTTTCAGATTAAATCACTTCACACATTCCAAATTTCATTGGCATCGAACATTCATATTGTGTTTGAGGCATCAAATTAACGAAATCGGTCGAAAATATATATGGGATCTATATCCAAATCAGATTAGAATATAAATTGGCAAACTTATTTTTGTTCCAAATTCCGCTACGTATTCCAAATTTGGAGACTGTATCTTCAACCAATCAATAGATATGTGCATATAAAATCTAAATTTTTGGGAGGTAACATACAAACATTTTCCTCTTTTATAGATATAGATTCACTAAGACGTGAATTTGTGTGACGGACGGGCATAACTAAATCAAAATTGAATTTTATTTTGATCAAGAATTAATATATATGTTGGGGTCTATAATTTATATTTCGAGGTGTTACAATCGCAATGACAAACCTAATATATTCTCCATACTATGGTAGAGGGTATAATATATTTGTAGAATATTTTTTCTGGCTACGATCCCGTTTAAATATAGTTTTAACTATATATAATAAAAAAGGACCAACACCCCCATTTGTTGGCTCGCTTATGGCTTAAAATTTCTGACTGAAATAAGCTTCACATTATTATCTGTAATATTGCCGACGAAATTTTGTACCTAAAATGAACGGATTCTATAAAAACTTAAACCGAAATTTTCCAAAAGTGCGGAGGAAGGGGAAATTTATCTCCTCTATTTTGATTCCTTTATGATGTAAACTTCCAAAACACCGATACACCTGTCTTCTATTTTTAGCATTACTTTCATAATCTGCTGGATTTTTTCCCGTAATTATATGTTATATATCCTCAGCTTTAGATCTAAAGAGGTTACAGTTAATTTTCATACAAGCAACATCGAAATATGAGTTCTTTGATCTAAATCCGTTGTATGAGATCAACTAGCCATGTCCGTCTGCTTTCAAACATGGTACATTGTAATATTTTTACCGAACATTAATTAAGATTGCAAATAAGCAATATCTGTCCACTTTTTCTTGTGCCTCACTCAAAAGTTAATAAAATATGAAAAAATAATATAAGTGTCATATTAAGCGAAGTGAGTACCCAATATAGTTCAAAAGTGGTACTTTGTAATATTTAGTCAAGACTTATGGTGGTTTCGAAAAATAACTCTCTCTCTCTCTCCAACAAAAGGATACCCTACAACACTATAATATATTAAAAAACCCATTTAGTTCGATTTCATTTTTGAAATAATGTCATACAGTTATTTAAAATGTGACCCTTGACGTTGTCCAATATTTACGCCCTCTGTCGTATTCAAAACAAATTCATACAAACTTGTGGGCCATTTTAACTGCTAAATATAATCCGATGGTAATAAAAAAGCTAGACTTTTGTCTTGTTCTAAACTGTAGTCTCATGTAAAGTTTCGTGTCTATTGGTTTTTTATTGTGACCTATTGAGCGATAAATTTTCAGTTTTTGGTTAATTTCAACACCTAAATATTTTGCTAACATATTCGAAAAACAATTTACCCCATGGTAAATATCATATATTATAACCCAAAAAACTGTCGTATGGTGTAAAAAAGTTTCAAATCAAATAGAAAAAAAAGTAACAAAAAATCAGTAAGAAAATGTCAAAATGTCTATATGATACCCTACACCACTATGCATATCTGTAGAGCTCCCGTAACAAAAGAATTTACACGAATTACATCATACCACCTATCAACATTTGGCTTTAGAGGTTATAGCTTGATTTTAGAGGGAACTTGTAATTTAAACTGAATTTGACGGAGGCATTTTAATCTTTTGTACCAATTAATATAGGTATGATATCACTTCGAAAAGGATTATAATAAGAAAATATAAACCGGAGCCGAGTTCCACAAAACGGAAACATACGTCCCGAAATTCACTTCATTAAGGATGGTAGCAGCCATTATTTTTACGGTAAATCTTAAATCGGTTTAAGGATAAATATGGAAGCCATATCTAAATCTTAGCCGATCTCAATAAAATGTGGCAAAGGTATTTCCGGGCTCTTTAAAATATCTGGTACCAAATATCATTGATGTCGAATGGATATTACGAATTTAAGAGATCTAAACACCAAATCGTATAAAACCTATATGTGGGAGCTATAGCTATACCTGAACCGATTTTTTCCGATTCGGTCGGATTCAGGACTTTTGGTCAGATATTGCCCATTTGGTGCACAATTAACCCGAAATCGATTGAAGATATATATGGGAGCTATATCCAAATCTGAACCGATCTTGATCAAATATGGCAGAGGTATTTCCGAGCTCTATAAGATATCTGGTACCGAATATCATTGTTGTCGAACGTATATTACAAATTTAAGGGATTTAAACACCAAAGCGGATAAAACCTAAATATGGGAGCTCTAGCTATATCTGAACCGATTTTCTCCAAATTCGATGGACTTTTGGACTGATATTGGCCATTTGGTGCACATTTAACCCCAAATCGGTTGAGGATATGGGAGCTATATTCAAATCTGAATTTAGTCGTAAATGCCAAAATTCAGTCCATTTGGGCTGATATTAGTCATTCGGTGGCAAATAAAACTGATATCGAATAAAGATATATGTGGGAGCTATATCCAAATCTGAACCGATCTTGATAAAATTGGATACACTTATTTTAGAGCTGTATTTGATATCTGGTACCAAAGATCATTATTGTGGAATGCATATTACGCTTTTGAGGGTCTTTAAACCCCAAATCGGAAAAAACATGTATGGGAGCTATAGCTGTATCTGAACCGATGTTCTCCAAATTTAATTAACTTGTTTCTAGACTGAATTCGGTGATATGTACCGAAATACAGGTCATTTGGACTTATATTGTCAATTTGATGCACAATTAACCCGAAATCGGTTGAAGATATATGGGAGCTATATCTAACTCTGATCTGATTATCACCGGTTTCAATAGGGATCGTCCTTGGGCCACACAAATATTGTTTGGAAAATTTCATCTCAATCGGATAATAAATGCGACTTGCATTTTGTTCACAAGAATACGTGGACAGACGGACGGAAGGAAGGACAGACGGACTGACACGCATAAATCGACTCAGAAAGTGATTCTATAACGATCCTCAAAAGTAACTATGAGTCTGTCTCGCTTCTTTCTGCCTGTTACAAACATATTCACAAAGACATAATACCATTAACACAGGGTATAAATATTTGTTTGGCATATTTTTATTCGATTTTTTAGGTTGTATTCTTATTTGCCAAGAGACCATTCTGAATTGGTGAGAATTGTTAAAATTTGGTCTTACTAACATCCCCTTCTTTGATATATGAGATTGTAGATATTTTGCTATAAATAAATGGGATGTCGGCATTAATGTAACTGTCAGAAGTGACCTTTTGGTGTAGTTGCTATTCCTGGACTAAAAATATTAGCTCTCGTAAAATACATAAGTCTTGTAAAATTCGAAATTATTCCTTAGTTCTCTTCAACGTTTGCTCATTGCAATATTCCTACTAACATTTGATTTAGTGTGCAGACTTTCTAAATTGTTTCCATTTTCAATGACTACCTTATCCTTTTTATCCACTTATTAAAAATTCATGTTAAACGTATACCATTCCCATCTTTACCACACACCCTTTAATTGTTCCCTCTCAGACTTACCCTTTAAAGCTGCCTCAATTTCAATAGCCCACAATATCGATAGGAAATTCTCTCCAGCAGCAAATGGAGTATCTGCTGTAAATTTGGTGATTTTATCAAAGTTTTCAACATTTTTCTCCAATACACTGACAAACAAATCAGCTGTTAACCATTCTGGCACCGGGGTTGCAGTCATTTCCGTAAACGTTTACTCAATTTCCCACGGACTATTTGTTTCAAAAATTTAAACCAACTAAAATCGTTTAATCGAAAACTAAAAGTTTTTATAGAAAAGTTTCGTCGCGTGCCACATTTCTTTATCAATTCGCTTGGAATCTAATCGTCATTACTCATAATACGTCTGACCAGATATAAGTCCAAATCACTCGATATTTTGCGATTTGTACACTAGCAACAAATTTAGAGAATTTATCAAAATTCAAATACTAATGATAAGATTGGAAACAAAATAAAAACGCTCTCTCATTCTATGATAGTTGGAATATATATTTTTTATTTAAATTTTTTTGCATTTATAAGTTCTTCTTCTCCGCAGTTAGTTTTCTTTTTATCAAAGCACTTTTAGCTACCCCTGTTCTCTGTTATCTTTTCTAGGTCACACCTCAAGTAGTGCCTTATTTTCCATCCATGGCAGCAGTTTTTGAATTTGTTGGCAATAATTCTCTTGTCCGTACATGACTTTCAATAATCGATCATTGCGTTCGCATGGATCAGCAGAACAATCTGCTGAGACAGCACAATCTTGGATGGGATCCCAAAGTGCAAGCGGCAGCACCTGCGTCACGGCTTCAAAAGCTAGAAGTAAACAAATAATTATATATTATTATGTCGGTAGTATCTCCCTCATTAACAATTGATTAGATTAGTATTGGAAATTCCCATACCGAATATCTCTATAAGGTAATTCGTTGCATATCGTGTATTGATCGTCAAAAAAGATGACGTATGAAAACTGACTAAGTTCTTTGAAATACTCGAAATCGAAATGCGCGTGTAAATATGAAAGTTGACAACGATTTTTATGTTACCTACATTTTTACCTAAAAATTTCCCTCCATTATTCAGAAAGTAATATCGTTAAAAAATGACTAGAAGTACCTAGGTCCATTACTCGAATCTGCCCGCAATTCCTTTTAGACCCAAAATGACGAATATCAGGACGGTTTAAGCACTGTACACAAAGCGGGGCTCATATTGAATGTTTTCTACCAGAGCTAGTAAATCTAAACATTTGTATACCCTCCACCTTGGAAAAGAGGGTATAGTAACTTTGTCATTCTGTTTGTAACATCCCCAAATATTCGTCGTAGGCCCTATAAAGTATATATATTCATAATCAGCATAACATTCTGAGTCGACATAACGATGCCAGCTTGCCTGTTGAAATCACTATACAGGCCACATTTTTTGACATAGAGCATCAAAATTTAGCAGAACAATTTGTATTGTGGTTGATATTGAAAATGGGATATATCGGTCCACGTTTTGGTATAGTCTCCATATAACGGTAACTCCCGATATTCGGTATTTTCATGATTTTTGCCACAGTTTTTAACGGATTTGCCTGAAAATCAGTATTTGTAGATCATTAAGGGTCCTAATTCTTGTGGCGAAACATTGTATGTATAGGTCTACGCTTTGGTATAGCCCCTATATAACGCCAAATTTTTTTCACGGATTTGTCTAAAAATTTGTATTCTTTGGTCACAATGGCTCCGATGGCGAAACATTGCTTGTATAGGTCCACGTTTTGATATAGCCCCCATATAACGGTACCTCCCGATATTCGCTATTTTGATGGTTTTTGTCACATTTTTTTCGGATTTGTCTAAAAATTGGTATTTGTTGGTCTTATTGGGTTCTAATGTTTCTACTACCGTAAGGTGGAGAGTATTAAAAGTTCGGCCCAGCCGAACATAATGTTTTTTATTTGTTTTTTTTTTTAATGAGACTACTAGTTACCAAATATAGACAGGGTCGGTTATATGGGGACTATTTGAAATATGGATCTGTATGGACAAGTTTCAGTAGGTTGTTCCCATTACTTACACCAAATTTCATATTTCAAATATTTACTGTCACGAAAATACTAAATGTCGAGAGGTACCGTTATATGCGGGCCATAAGTGACCTTGTATAGAAAAAGCTCATCCGGAGATAGTCTACCATGTGTGAACTCTAAATATCAACTTTAAAAAAATGCCATGGTAACGGAAAGCTTCACATACTAAGTTGAAAAATATTGCTAAAACATAGAAATACCGATAAGAGGGAGTTACAGAAACATGGAATCTATTCCATAATTTGGAACTGTACTGATATTGAAAGGTCCATATTGACCATTTTCAATATTAAAAATTCCACGAACCTCAAACACATTTAAGCAAATCTTTGTAGACCTATTTCATTTTATTCAGAAGATAAAATGATTTCCACAGACGGACAGACGCACGGACATGGCTAAATCGACATAGAATCTTATGCTGATCAGGAATGAACTTTTTGTGGTCTTTCGAAGACTTATAAATGTATGGCAGGGTATAAAAGTGGAAAAAACTCTAAGATCTGCAGGTTTGACACCTGAATATCCTCATTTGGTACCAGAGAGAATGGTCCATTGTAACCTATTGCAATTGGTAGAAATATTGGCAAAATTCAAGAACAATTGTAGTTTAGTTTTTATATTATTTTCTAATAGTTATGAAGTGTGGAGCAGATACTAGAAGGACTAGGACAATATTCTCCATTCTTGCGCCAGAAATTGCATTGATACAAATTTTAATATTTGGAATATTAAAATAAAATTTTTTGATAATTTTACACTTTTTGGGGGATTTACAAGAAGCAGTGGACCTATATTACTCATATCTCAACACGATCCATGTGTTGTAATTATATTACATTGAATAAAGGAATCGGATACTGCATTCGAGAATTATGGTGCGCACCAGCCAACCAGTCCGACAAACGGATGGACACCGCTAGATCGGTGCCAAATGTCCTGAAACGTACTTCGAACAAGTTTAGTTTTAAATTGCAACTGCTAACGAAATCGGTTAATGAATTCAGTAAAATTCTTCAAAATACTATAAAGTGGGCGGTACCGTGATATTGGTGCCATAACAAAACGTGAACCTACAAAAACCATTTTCTGCTATTTTACACTACTTCATAAGAAGGAGGTAACATTATATCTATGCGAAAACTTTATAGGTTCTCCAAAAAATTTACGGAGGCGTTACAAACGGAATAACATGAATACCACCACTGAATCTCTTAAAATTTATATAAATATCATATCTATCTATCTATCATATCATATCTATCATGCTAATATCAGGTGTGAAAAGGAAAACTATCTGCCCATAGCTCCCCCATTTTTGAATAACAATAACAAGATAAAAAAAACACCTAAATTCGGCCGGGACGAACTTTTAATACCCTTCAGCATTTAAAAAAAAACATCGAAATGTGCAAAAGTATTATTTTTTTGTCATAGGCTGTAGTACCGATTTCGAACTTCAAATACGAGATTTGAAACAATTCCGTTGAATAATGTTGCTAATATTAAATACCGAATAAAGGGAGGTACCGTTATATGTGGGCTATACGAAGACATGGACATGGGTAAACAATTTGCCGTCATAGGTTGTAGTACTCAGTATGAGCTTCAAACTTTAAATACGAAATTAGAAACAATTCCGGTCAAAAATATCGCTAAAATCATAAAAATACCTAATATCGCGGACTATCGTTTTAGGGGGCTATACCATATAGTGGACATATATCGACAATTCTCTTCCAGTACTCCAGAACTTCTTGAGCGAATTTTCGAACAGTTCCCTTTGGAAAGTTCGGGTAAAATATGGGGGATATATCGTGGACCTATATTTACATGTATCTCCAGTAGGTAAAATAATCAGAAGGAATTCTTCGTGTGGAATTTCAGACAATTCCATTGAAAAAATGTGGTTACAATCATCAAAATACCGAATATCAGGAGGTACCGTTATATGGGGGCTATACGATATCGTAAACCTATAAATACAATTCTCTTCCAGGGGGACAAACTACTCAAAAAGAACTCCTTGAGTGAATTTTCAGACAATTTCATTAAAAAATGTGGCTAAAATCCTCAAAAATACCGAATATCGGGTGGTAGCGTTATATGGAAGCTATACGATATTGTGGACGGATATAGCCCATTTTCGAACTAGATCTGCCTTCGCACAAAAGACAGAATTGTTGATTTTGTTGTTCTTAAAATGATTTTTATACCCTCCACCATACATAGTATGGAGGGTATATTAAGTTCGTCATTCCATTTGTAACTCATCGAAATAATCATTTTAGACCCAACAAAGTATATATATTCTTGATCAGCTTAAAATTCTAAGACGATTTAGCCCTGTCCATCCGTCTGTCTGTCCGTCCGTCCGTCTGTACGTCTGTTGTAATCACGCTACAGTCTAAACGAATTAAGATAGGAAGCTAAAATTTTGCACAGATCTCTCTTTTGTCTGCAGGCAGGTCAAGTTCGAAGATTGGCTATATCGGTCCACGATATCGTATAGCCCCCATATAAAGGTAACCTCCGATATTCGGTATTTTGAAGATGTTAGCCTCATTTTTCAATGGAAGTGTCTGAAATTCCACAAAAGGAGTCCCTTGTGAAAAAGAATTGCCTTCTACCCTCTGAAAAAGAATGGTCTATATAGGTCCACGATATCGTATATCCCCCATATAACGGTACCCCTGATATTCGGTATTTTGATAACTTTACCCACATTTTTCAACGGATTTGTCTGAAAATCCACACAAGGAGTTCTTTATGAGCACTTTACCCCCCGAAAGGGAATTGCCTATATAGGTGCGCAATATCGTATATCCCCCATATAACGGTACCCCCCGATATTCAGTAGTTTGATGATTTTAGCTACTTTTTCCAATGGAATTATCTGAAAATCCACACAAGGGAACTTTACACCCAGATATAGATTTGTCTTAATAGGTCCACAATATCATATATACTCCCATATATCGGCACCTTCCTATATTAGATATTGTAAAGATTTAAAATAAAATTTAAAGGATTTTATTTTTTTGTAAATTTTCTAATTCGTTCCAAATGGTGGAGGGTATTCAAAGTTCGGCCCTACCGAACTTACTGCTTTTTACTTGTTTTTATCTCACCCTGTATATTGATAATATTCTGCCACCATGGGAGAAAGCCATTACGATCTAAAAGTTGAAAATTCCGAATGCACTGTTATATGTGGGTTAGGAAAAACGTTACCCATAGGAACAATGTTTTAAAACGGGCGTAAGACCCATTTCAAATTAAAAATATTTCATTTGAGAAATGTGGCTAATATAGACATAATACCAAATATCGGGAGGTACTGTTATATGAGAGCTATATAAAAACGTAAACACAATCAACTATATCAGACGAACTACAGGTATAATACATTAAACTATTCCGCTAGAAGATGTGATTTAATTCCTCAAAATGCCGAATATCGGGAGGTATTCAAAAACGATACTCAATACCATTCATACTGGGCAGAATGCAAACTATAAAGCCAAACTTCAAAGCTCTACTCCATATTATTTGGACTGTATCCTGATTCAAGAAAACAGCAATTTTAAATCGACTTATAATTTTGTGCTGACCTCGAATATATATACTTTATGGGGTGTCCGACAGATATTTGGAAGTATTACATACGGAATGACAAATTTAATTAAATCGACACTGGTAGTGATCATTTCTAAACATAAACATATTAAAACGTCGAAAATGTCGAAATGAAATACCGAAATCGAATTAAGTATACTTACCCCATTTATTATTTTTCAACAAATCGTAATGTAACTCCGATAACTTTGGCACATCACCCTTATACTTCAGCAGTTTGAAACAGCCGATCAATTGATCATAATAAAATTTGACATAATATTCAAATTTGTTTAACTTCTCATCCAAATTGGTTGACGATAACAACAAATACCAAAGATCCTTGGCAGGGTTGCCATATGAACATGAACCCAGATTTGTGAAAACAAAATCCTTAATATTGCCAAAAGCATCTATTTGGAATAACATATTATCCAAATTGGCATTACCCAACAAAAGTACTTGAAATTCTTGCTGATTTGAGAATGGACGATTTTCCAAAAATTGGGTTTGTAAAGATTTCTAAATGAATTAAAAATATAAAATTAGTTCCTGTTTACAACAACGAAAATTAATAAAGGATGCACTTACAATCTTATCTTCATAGTGTTTCAAACTATAGCCACGTAAATTTTCATAGAATATGCGATCGGCTAGGATTTGAGTTTCCTTGGTAGCGTTGCAAAATGTTCTCCTGGACTTTATGTCAAATTTGGCACCAACCACACTCGCTGCATGAAATGCCGCCAAGTTTTTCAAAGCTATTTCCATTTGTTTGCTGCTCAGACCACCAGATTGCTGAATACATCTGTAACCCTTGTATTGCAAATCTTCGAAAAGGATGTAGTCCTCCGGAACAGGTTGTGGGAATTTATAAACCATTGGAGCAAAGTTAATGGGGGTATTCTCCTCTTCATATAATTTTCGAAACTTTGGCAAAATTTCAAAATTCACATCGTTTTCTTGAGCCAATGTGGAATTATTAAGATAGGGTAGAAATTTGTCACCGCTACTAAATGTTGCAGTTTTGAGAATGAAACCCATGACACGTCTCTTGCCATCTGAAATTAGAAAACATATTATGTGTATCAGTAATTGACATAAAAGGAGGAAAAACTATTGCAGCAACTAGAATTTAAGAGAAAACATGAATTAAAATATAATTTTCAGTAATGTTCCCATAGAATGATTCGAATTGTAGAATGGAATTTTAATCACTAGGGAATTAATGACCTAATTAGAAGTTTCCAATAAATAGAGTTCCACCATCTTCCGCATTTTTGGAAATATTTGGATTAAGATTCCTGCGAGTCCTTACATTTTTGGTATAAAGGCAATACTACTGATAACAAAACGGGGATTATTTCGGTCGAAAATGTTAACCCTCAAGCGATTCACAAAAAGGCGTCTTTTTGACCCTTCTTCAAAATATGGTTAAAAAATATTCTACAAAATGATTTGACATATAATTCTACTATAGGTCCCAAAATACATCAAAAGTCTTTGTCTTAACTAAACGGTTAAAGCCCTACTTCATTTGAGCTTAACCAAAATTTTCATACAAGGCATCATTCCAGCAACAAGGCATCATTTTAGAAAAATAACAACAAAGACAAAATTATTCTTAATTAAATTCTCTATCAACCTCTAAAAAAGAAATCTCTACTTCCATTATATATCTAGAAAATGTTAGCATCAATGTCGCCAAAAATGCGAAAATACTTTTTCATTTTTATACCCTTTATATATCCTAGGTCTCTTCGGACCAAATCCGTTTCAAGACATTTGGAGTCGTTCTAGCGATGTCCATCCGTCTGTCTGTCTGTCTGACTGGTGCGCACGATAACACGATAACTCTCGAAGAAAGTATCCGATTTGATCCAAAGTTTGTGCATCGTAATATTATTGTCAAACATAGATCGAGTTCGGAGATGGGCTTTATCGGTCCACTTCTTCTGGTACCTCGCACACAAAATGTCAAAATTTTCAAAAAAAAAAAAAAAATAATTTATTGCACAGAAAGAGAAAAGATAATTCGATTTTGCTCCAACTTTGCGAATACTAATATTATCATTAGTGCTTGGTAAGGTGAGAAAATGGACAATATCGGTCCACTCCAACAGGTACCTCCCCCACAAAGGGTCAAAATATTGAATAATCACAACTCATATGATGTAAGATTCCGAATGTCTTCAAATTTCACACATCTCAATAATTTTCTCGAACCCAACGTCTGGTGCGAAAATGGAATATGTCGGTCCTCTCCTTCTTTTGCCTCCCCCACAAAAGTAGAAATTTGAAAAAAAAAAAAATATTTTTGCACAGAAAGAGAAACGATAATCCGATTTTGCTCCAACTTAGCAAATACTAATATTTGCATCAGTGCTAAGACAGGTGCGAAAATGGACAATATCGATCCACTCCATCAAGTACCTGTCCCACAAAGGGTAAAAATTCATAATAATTACAACCCTTATAAAATGCGATGTAAAAGTCTGATTGCCTTCAAATTTCACACATCCCAATAATTTTATAAGCCCAAGGTCTGGTGCCAAGATGGAATATATCGGTCCATTGCTTCTGGTACCTCCCCCACAAAAAGCCGAAAATTTCAAAAAAAAAAAATATTTTCTGCGCAGAAGTAGAAGCAATAATCCGATTTTGTTCCAACTTTGCAAATCCTAATATCTGCGTCAGTTCTAGGTCAGGTGAAAAAATGGATAGTATCGGTCCACTCCATCAAGTACCTGTCCCACAAAGGGTAAAAATTTTAAATAATTATCACTCTTAAAAAATGTGATGTAAGAATCCGATTGCCTTCAAATTTCACACATCCCAATATTTTTATAAAAGCAAGTTTAATGTAAAGATGGAATATATCGGTCCACTCCTTCTTGTACCTCCCCAACAAAAGGTCGAAATTTTGAATATCCAATGGGCTCATAAAACGCGAAATTAATATACGATTTCATTTAGACTTGGCACATCTGAATATTTCTATCAACACAAGATCTGTTATTAAAACAGTAGAGATCGGACCATTTCTTGTGGTACCATTCCCACAAAGGGTCAAAGTTTTGAATAACCCAAGCGTTTATAAAATCCGAAATAAGCATCAGGTTCTCTTTATATTTCACACATCCCATTCTTTGCACTAACAAAAGATCCGTTGTAAAGATTTTGAATATCCATGAATCTCATAAAAAGCATGATTGGTATCCGATTCCATTCAAGTCTTGGTACATCTCTGAATTTCCATCAACACAACACAGTCCAACCTAGCACTTCGCAATATATATATCGTATTTACTTATGTCCGATACGAAATGGTCAATATTGGCCCATTCCTTCGGAACCTACTGCATAAGGGGTTTAACATTTGAATAATAATAAATGAAGTCGAAATGTTTTTAAATAATCGATCATTGGCTGAGAGTATATATCTGTCGGCAAAACCGGGTGATAGTATTTTACTTGTTTTTATTTACCTTTTGCTTCGTACTCGATTTTCACACCCAAATAATTATCTTTGCAATTATCCACACGTTTTGTTGAGAATTTAAGTATCTTCTGGAAATCGGCAACTTCTTTCGACAACAAATTCGCAAAAAGTTCTGTATTAACCCATTCCGGGGTTGCGGCGTCTACAACGGACATTTGTCTATCGACCACCATTTTTAAAAATAAACTGATTTCTGTATTATTGAAATTGTTTGCGAATCGAACTAAGCGAATTACTTCATAAGTATGTAGATGGTTGTTATCGCATAATTGGCTAAAAACATCGTTAGTGACGATAAGGTGTGACGATAAGACGATGTTATATGCACAATTTGTTGAAGGTGTTTGTTTTTTTTTTTTTAAATAGTTATCAATATTTTTGCACAATTTCCAACATGGGGGTATTGGGACGAATTGTAAATTTTGTTGTTATGTGCAACACCTTGTTGCCAAATTGTAGGTATTATTTTTATTTATTTATTTATTTAAAGCATAGTTTTAGGAGCAAAAATAACATGACATGCCTCGTTTACATTATGTCGTTTTGATAGCGTGTTTACATAGAACAGATTAATATAAAATATGTTAACACGGATAAATATTTGTATGTAAACGTACTTTTACTAAAATAAAGGTTGGGACTATGATAAAATCATAAAAGCAGTTTTATGCAATCTTAGGGCTACATTTTATATTTGATGTCTCTTCATTGGCAAAATTTTATATTACCATTCTACTTCGCCTATGACAAATGTGAAATAGGGTTATTCCAAGTATTGGCTAGCCCAATTGACAAAAAATATATGCTTCATGCCATGCTGCAGATAAGAGATCATTCACGATTTATATAATTTATGTCAATTGCCATGCGCAAATATTTAAGAAATAAAAATATGTGTTAACATTGACAAGGTCGGATACGTCGGAAAAGGGATTACCATGTCCGCAATAACAAATAAGACTATTTTTATTTTTGTTTGGCCCATAATTGGTCATTGGCCATAAAATATGCTTTTTTTATCCGGATCAACCCTGAAGTTTGATGTCAGCTCTATCCGATATTTATTGTAGGGTATAAATAAGAGTTGCAATATACTGATATTGATATTCGGTTATATACAGGATAAGATAAAAAACTGAAACAAAGTCAAATTTTATTTTTTTTTTAATTTTTATTGGATGAAAGCAAAAAATGTCGAAAATAGCGTAAAAATTTAAAATAATTTTAAATTTGTACGAATTGATCAGCTTCGGCACGAATTATGGCCTTCAAAAGGCCAATGAATTTTGACCCATTCCCGGCGAAGCGCTTGCGTGAGGTGACCGACTCTTTGGTATTTTTTAGTGCCAACCTTGCTTTCCAAAATACTCTAGACACAATAGTCCAACGGATTGGTATCCGGAGATTATGGTGGCGACTGTGCGGTAGAAATGAAGCAAGGAACCTCAATTTGTAACCATTTTTGGGTGGCGCGTGCTGAGTGCAATGGTGCTGAGTCCTGTTCAACACTTTCGGCCAAGCGAAGCAACTCTTTGACTCTTTTGAGCCTATTTTCTTTCGGTTGCGGTGTAAGTTCTAGCACTTTTTGGAATTCCAATGGCTTTACCCCGAGCTCATTTTTCAATATTTGCCGAATGGAATATTGCGATATGTTCAGCTCACGAGCCTTTTTTCAGCCACTGCGTCGCGGGTTTCTATCAAGTCGTTTCTTTACTTTTTCGCACCATTTCTGCTGATGTTGCTGTTTTCTTCCGTCCACTTCCTTGACGTCGGGCTACGCTACCAGTATCACGGTAACGAACGTACCATCGCAGACATAATCGATTTATTCACATTTTGACAGCATTTAGTAAAAATAATGGAATGTGTGAAATTTGAAGAGAACCGAATGCTTATTTCGTATTTTATGCTCGCTTTACTTATTCAAAATTTGGACCCTTTGTGGAGGCTATACCAGAAGGAATGGTCCGATCTCTACCATCTATTTAATCGGATGTTATTTTCGCGTTTTATGAGTTTCATGGATATTAAAAATTTTGGACCTTTGTGGGGGAGGTAGCAGAAGGAGTAGACCGATTTATTCCATCTTTATACCAGACCCTGAGTTAATAAAAATATTGTGAAGTGTGCAATTTGAAAACAATCGGAATCTTGCATCACATTTTATAAGAGTTATAATTATTCAGAACTTTTACCCTTTGTGGGGGAGGTACCAGAAGGAATGGTCCGATCTCAGTCATCTTTACAACACACCTTTTGGTGATAAAAAAATGAGATCTACCAAGGCTGAATGGAATCGGATGTTAAATTCGCATTTTATGAGCTTCATAGGTATTCAAAATTGACCCTTTGTGGGGGAGGTACCAGAAGGAGTGGATACATCGCATCTTCACACCAGACCTTGGGTTAATAAAATTATTGTGATGCGTATAATTTGAAGATAATCGGACTCTTACATCACCTTTTTTAATAGTTATAATTATTCAAAATTTTGACCTTTGTGGGGGAGGTACTTGATGGGTTGGGCCTATATTGTTCATTTTCTCACATGACCTTGTACTAATACAAATATTAGGGTTTGCAAAGTTGCAGCAAAATCGGATTATCATTTTTCCTTCTGTGCAGTAAAATATTTTCTTTGAAAAGTTCGGCCTTTTTTGGGGGAGGTACCAAAAAGAGTGGACCGATATTGTCCATCTTCGAACTCGATCTAAGTTAAATATTATAATATTATTATGTACCAAGGTTGGACCAAATCGGATTCTCCCTTTGAGAGTTATCGTGATCACCAGCCAGCCAGACAGACAGACGGACGGACGGACATCGCTATATCGACTCCAAATGTCCTGAAAGAGACTCACAGGAGACCTAGGGTCTAAAACTGTTATTTGGATGAGGCACGTTTTTGTCGTATCAGACGATATATATCCTCTCTAGCCATATGACTGAGAGTATAAAACTTAACATTCCAAGTGGTGAAGGGAATTAAAAGTCCGAATTTACCGTTGGTAATGTCCAAATCTCAATATTAAAATAATTATTTATTTTCTCGTTTTTGAAGCCGGTATCTCAGTAAATTTGTAAAATTATAAATATTATACTAATGTTCTGGTCTAATATTTTAAGAAGAGATTACATTTTAAGAAGAGACTACATACAACGTTTCACAAATATTACATTTTGACGTTATAAGCGTATATTTTCGTTAAGCATTTTAAATTAAAAGAATTTGCTTTCACAGAAAAAAAACTGATGGATGTGCTCACTGTGCGCCTTGTAAATACGCTATGGAATACATTTTTCGACGAAATTTTAGTAAAATAGTTGACAAAATCTTTAAAGCTAATATAATATAGTATGTTATATTTAGATATTCTCCGTTAGTTAATTAATTTCCTACACCCACAATAAAATTCCAGTATCCCCTGAACTGATTTCAACCGTGCCTACGTCATACTCTTTAACTACGGTAGCAATAACAGTTGTTTTCGCTGGCCGAAATTCGCATAGCTAATTATTTTAAGATGATTTATCACATTATGAAATGGTTTAACGCCCTATTTTCCAAAAATTGTGCATTTCCATCCATGTCAGTCCACGACTAATTAATCCGCATCAAATGATTCAATGTTGCACTTGTCCACTCCTTTGCATTGCACACAAAACCATCACAACCCAACTGAAAAAACTCCCTCTTTTTCCACATTGCCAAATTAGAAAATTTCACCTAATCATGTCACCATCTAATCTAATATGACAGAATAATTGGATTCAATTTGGTGCAAAATCTCTGCAAATTTGTCCCAAAAAAATCAATCAAAAGTGGGTACGTTGTTTCACAAAGTGTCATTCACTTGATAACTTTATTGTTGTAAGGGTGATTAATGCCAAGCCAATATCCAATGGGCACAGATGTTCATGTAGCTCAGTTATGTGGTTTTATGTCGATAATACTGTTCACTGTGGTGGGTTTTAATTTTCTGGGTGGTGTGTTCTCTTCTTCAATGCCGCTGTTCTGTGAAGCATAGTGTGAATGTTTGATTTCAACATGTTCTAAAGAGAAGTTGTGTTATGGTATTGAATTGAGATAATTGTTCAACTCGTTACAACTGCCTCCGTGGCGCAATTGGCTAGCGCGTTCGGCTGTTAACCGAAAGGTTGGTGGTTCGAGCCCACCCGGGGGCGCAATTACTTTTTATTTTTTTTTTATGATTTTTACACATATATCTTTTAAATAAAAAAAAGTAAAATTAAAAAAACCTGAGAATGTAATTGGAAGTAAAAAACTTGCACATTAAACATATTACAGATATGTATTAACCAATAACTAACGCTGGATTATGGGGCTTAAAAGGATGAAATCCAAAAAAATAGCGTAAAAAAGTGAAATTTGAACATTTTTAATTTGACTTTTGAAGTGTACAATAGCAATGTTTTATATTGCATGATTTTTTCATTTTTAATGTACATTTGTATTGTTTTTTTTTTCTGAATTCTAATATGATATGGAGTCTTTTAAGGGTGGTACAAAGCTAAAACTGTTACTTATAGATATTATATTTTATTGGGTAAGTGGAACATTATCATTTCAGAAGTGGATACAAAATAAAGAATTATTTTCACCATATGAAATAAAGTTATGTTAGTTACTACGCTAATAACTCAAGAACGGCTTAACGGATTTTGACAAATCATACAATTTCGGAATGGTATCTTGGCAAAAAAAAAAATCACGCGAAAATATGCCAATAAAAATGTGAATGTAAAAATTCTTGAGGTATTTTTTTCAATTTGACATACCATATTGAATTGTGCATAAGTATTTTATTGTTTTGCATTCTGAATGAATAATATTAAAAATGAAATGAGTGCGAAGTACGATGTTAAATGGCGATCTTTCATGTCTAAAATTTGCATTTAGCTTTTAATTCTAGGACCTACATCGTGCTTCAAAGCGTTGTGTGGCTCATTTTCAAATGTCCAGAACACAAAATGCAAAATTCATTGGGACTGCAATCAGTGAAATACCGGATGTAAAGAGTGCGTAAATAGTAGAGCGTATTGGACATTAAGTAAGAAAATGATTTATATCATTCCAAAAATTCTTCCTAAACTTTCAAGATAAATCTTAAATCGTTTTACATGTCATGATGTGGGTTATAACCCCCGTGTAAGGGTACAAGCCGATTCCAAGTATCTTTTACAATTTAATCATA